ATCCTATGAGATGCACTCGATAATAATCTTGCCTTTAATTTTTATAATAGGTCAATTCACTCTAAATTTTAAAATAACGGAGATAAACGTGATCTGCTGAGCKTAAAATTTGCTRTGCYACGCACTTGTACGACGAAGACAACACATGCGGGTGTGGCGTCCTCTTAACTATATTATAATATTTTATTTAATAATACATCATTATATTTATGAAATATTCACTTTTGAAWCGTCTTCAGATGGCTGTGATGTTAGCCRCCTCGGTGACGTTGGCCACGTGCACCACCGTGTCATCGATCGACAAGTCTCGGACCAGTGAAAACGACCACAAGGCAGATGGCAAGCAGAAACGCGGCACGTGGGGCCTAGGATATGGCGGTGGTAATGGATTCTACGACGAAGGATTGAGCTATGGCACTCTCGGTGGTTACGGGTTGGGCAGCGCCATCGGGAGTGGTTACGGAGGTTACAGTTACGGGGGTTTTGGTTATGCACCGCGCCACTACCCTACTCACGTGCACACGGCCACGACAATTACCAAGAGCGTTCCGGTACCGCAACCATACCCGGTGACCGTCGAGAAGCATGTTCCTTACCCGGTGGCCGCTCCGTACCCGGTTGAGGTTCCCAGACCGTACCCGGTGGCCGTGCCCAAGCCGTACCCAGTGTCCGTAGATAGGCCGTACCCCGTGCACGTGGACAGGCCGTACCCGGTACCGGTGCCCCATCCAGTCGCCGTGCCAGTGGTCAAGCACGTGGGCGTCCCGGTGCCGCACCCGTACCCAGTTGAGGTCCGCCGGCCGTATCCCGCGTTGCCACTTCCCTATCACAAGCCSCTGTACTCAGACCATGACTTGTGGTGAACAGAGCAGCCCAGCGACTTGAGCATCGTTCGTTGTATATGTCAGTATAAAATTATATTCATAMTACATTATTTCATATTTATCGTTTTTAAAATTGTTTACCGTTTTGAATAACAATATAAAATATTCTTAATTTCATATCTCATAGCAGAATATTATTTGGAATA